CAGGAATGAGGACTTCATGAACAATGGTCTTCTGCAATTTAAAAATCATTCCATTTCTTTTCTTCTAATGTAATAATCTAGTCAGCAGTATTTTGTGTTTGAGGCAATATTGTTTCATCTGACAGGAAAACATACAGGCATAAATCTCATGTGTGTATGTAAGGTACTAGCCTTTACCTGAAGTTGGTGGTGCTCAATTATATCTGTAAGGGAGCTTTTAAAAGAGTATGTTTTTAAGTTAACAAAAAAGTAAAATCTTACTGTCTCCAGACGCTGATAGAGTTACAGGTGTCTGTATATGGTGAGTGTGGCAGCTCAGCCACTTTACAGGAATACAATTCCTCATATTTGTGATAAGTATGTTGTTTTCTGAATTAAGTATAAAATGCTTATTCAATAAATACAGCAAATGAATTCCATAATTTTTTTTTTGTATTGTTCAACTGGAACTTATAAACAAATACATGATTTAAATTCTTTTTTCCAGGTATTAAGTCTTAAAAGAGGTACTTGTTTTCAAGAAGTACTACAGACAACATGGAAAAAGCTGGTAACAGCTCTTGCAATGATGGACTTCTACTTAGAATGGGCCTCAATGATAACAAAGCTGGAATGCAAGGTTTGGATAAAGAGAAAATCAATAAAATCATCATGAAAGCTACCAAGGTTGGTTTGATTACTCTTCCTGGTGCTTGATCTGTTGTCCAGTATCGTAAGGCCCTCTTCTTCCCTTCCCCAATTTTATCCCTCACATGTAAATGGAGGGCAGCTCCTAAGAAGAAATCCATATGTGGGGAGGAAGTGGAGGGACTGTAGCTTAGGGTACCATAGGGTACTGTTGGATTCATCCACAGGGACATAGAGGAACACAATGGAGTACAACCCTAGGTGCTCCCTTTTTGCCTGAAGCAGTACATAAATATCACACCATTGTCCAGAGGTAATTGTGAAGGTTTCAGCTTCCTTAGGCCTCTTTTTTTCCCCTTTTCCATTCCTTTTGCCCGCCCCATCATTTATGAGCCAAGCAGATCTACCTCTATTGGTCACCTTCCTGTAACTGATGAATTTGGTGTAATCAGGTTTTCCTGGTACTTTCAGCAGAATTTCTTTGTGCTTACTGCCTGTTGTCTTGACTGTCTTCTCAGTATTTAGGAGAGGTGGTCAGTAGTGTGCAACTTTGTACCAAAGACCAACAGAGGACCCCACAAATCATTGAAATACTAGTCCTTTTACTTGTTATTGGAGAGTCTTCACATAGAACTATATGGGGACAATACTTTATTTGAGCAACTCTGGGTTTTCCTACTTCTCTTTGCACAAATGTGTATTTCATTTGGTGGTGCTATGGCCCTAGGTTATGTGCTTGATATTTTGCTCATGAATTCTGTGTTGACTGCTGTTGCTCTGTGGTAAACTACAGGGGGAGGGCGGGGGAAAGGGGGATGGGAGGAGAGGGGGAAGCAAAGAACGTACTACAAACAGCTTTTATTTGGAAAACTTCACTTTGCTTGCATTTTCACTTTGATGATACTTTATATGTTATCAAGCCCCTTACTGATGAGATGTTTCTTCTAGTTATTCTGTTCACTCTTTCTTGAAAACTTAATGCTTTGTCAGACATAACCCTAATAACGATATTTGGATAAATTATTTCATCAGAACAGTTACTGTTTCATTTCCTGGTATGAAATAGAACAAACTGTAAAATAGGCTTTCAAAACTGATATACAGGCATCTATCTACTGGAATACATTTATGTCAAAAAAAGCAGAAGAGTATACATACCAGATACAGCTCGAGAATTCTGAAAAGAAGTGTTAATTCTTTTTTTTGAGCTTTTCTTTAGTCTACAAAATTATACCTACAAACACTACCCACAATTGTATTACAACAAGATTTTATAGCATTTCAACTGTGAAGTACTGCAGGAGATGTAAAAACCACACAGCTTAATAACAATCTTTTATGTATTGGGTTGCTTCCCACACCAACATTTTGGTAGTTATTTCTTTCAATGAGTCTCAACAAGTCATGTTTGATTGCAGAGGGGAGAAAAGATGAAATGCATGTCTGATATTGAAAGAAGACACACCCTAATTTCTTCTAATTAGAGATTTCTTCTAAGCAATGAGACATGACACAGTCTTGCCATTCATCCTTTTTATCATTATAAAAGTGGATGTTTCTGCTTTTTATAGAAATGCCTGATTCTTCTTTGACTATGGATGAATTCTTGGCATCAGTGACAGTTTGGTAGTCAGAGCCTTTGAGCTAAAAATTTGTCCAGTTTTGCAGATTTTATCAGGTGGTTCAACAAAAGACATTACCTCTTCTTGGAAATGTTATTTTCTTGTAAACTAAGCAGAAGTTGCAAGAAAAATATTTTATTTCCTAGTTTTGAATCTTCCTCTTTTCTATTTCACTGTATGCCCTCTTTTCTTTGTTATGAGTCAGGAGGGGAAGTCACATCCTAAGTTCTCTACATGATTGTTGTCGTCTTATGTTTTCGTTACATCTCCTTTTATTCATTCCTTTTCTTGAAGGAACAATTACTTACTTGAGAGGAAGAGGGCTTTTTTATACCCATTTGCTTTTCATCATCCTCTTCCAAATAGCTTCTAATTCTGCAATGTCCTTTAAGATTAAACGGTCAATGGAATACTCAACATTATAAGTGGATTTGACTTTTACAGTGTCATTATTTACTTCCATGTAGATTAAATACCTAAATAAATTTTTTTTAGAGTTTTATATGCCTTAGCATGGAGGTATTGCAAAGAATGGTTTGACTTTTATCTACTATTTTGGAATTTTTGTTGTCAAGTAACAAATAAACCTAGTAAGTTCTCTAAATAGTCCCTTACATTCATCTGAGTATAGGGGATCTGAGAAGGAAAAATATATTTGTGTCATTTGAGGAGAGAGATGTAGAGCACCGCTGGTCTCTCTTGTGTATCATTTATATGAAAATCCAAAGTATGCATTAGAAACTGTTACTCTGTTTTACGTTTTCTGTATTTAAAGATCAAATGTGGTTGTCTATAGGAAAAGACAAATAAAAACCTTACTGGTTTTGCAATTTTCTTCTAGGGTTCTAGATTTTATGAAAATGAACTTAAAAAAGATCAACAAGTTAACCAACGAATTGAGAAAATGATGCAGCTAAAAGAGAAAATTACAACACAACAGCTCTTGAAAGCACAGCTGCAGGTACTAATCTTGTAAAGACTTTTTAGAGTAAATGGTGAATGATAAACATTTTGATGTGTTCTAGTTTATTGCATTAAATTCTGGTGATAAGCACAATGCTAACTACCTAATTACTAACTAATTTTGATGTTAGTCATGCAAGTAAAAGTGCACAATGTTTTGATGATGTAATCTTAATAAAAACTCGCTAGCAGAATAGATTGTAAAATCACTCCGAAATGTTCTCTAAATGGGTAAAATGAAGCAAAGTAGTTCCTGTTCTTCTAAGTCTGATCAGTTTAAAGGGATGTCATTATGGTTTAGGTAAGTTTTGTTAAATACCTTGTTAATAAGTATCCTATCAGTCTTGAGTTTACTTTCTGTTTCTGTAATATATGTATGTTGTGTTTAATGGCCTGCAGTGAGATGAGGGGGATCACAATTGTCAACTCTTCTGGATAAAATTTATTCCTTATTTATGCTAATTAATGAAAAAATCATCATGGCAAGCAGTCACAAGAAATACAAGTGTCCTGAGCTAGGAAGACGAAGAGGCTATTTCTCTTCTCAGATGCGAATGATAGATAATAGCATCCAGAGTATTACTGTGTATGAAAGGTTGTTAAAAGAAAACAGCACCAAGGTTGCACACTAAACATTCTTAGGCACAACAGAATTAAAGTTTCTTGTAGAAGCCTAATTCCTTTCCTTTTTCATTTGTACTGTGATTCAGTCTTTAATTACATGGTTGCTTGCTGTTTTTCCTTAACAGGATTCCTGCTTCATTCAGTGCACAGTGCAGACAGTGTTCACTGAGTGGGCAATTATTCAATATTTACTGTTGTCCTCATTGTTCAGTGGGTGGCCCCAAGCTTTATTTGTTGTACACCAGTCTAATCCAGCTTTGAATGCCGAATTACTGACTTCCTCATAGGCTTTTCTATGTTGTACACCACATAGTGTGAATTCTTTAAATTATGCTTGCAATACTCCAGCAAAGTAGAGTGCTATTTTTGTTTTGTAGATGAGGAGCTGAAGCAGATTAAGATTAAACACATCCATTAATTTTGAATGCCATTATGAGGATTATAGGTCCTGAGCTTTGGTGTACAATCTTTTTTTGTTCATTTAGGATTTGCAAATCACTTCTGTAAATTAGACGCCTGTCTCAGATTTGTGCCCAGAAAAGCTTGCAATTACCGAGTACCTCTGAAAAGTCTGTTGTAAGCCTGTATGCCTCAACTGGTTTTAGTTAATCTTTAACATGGATCAGTTATGTCTCTGCTTGTCCCTTTTTTTCCTTTAGTTTTCTGGGGTAGCTTTTAAGTCATTTAATTATGAAAAAATACTTCCATTTCCATCCTTCCTTCATCACAGAACTTTTCATTTTACAAAGAACAGTCTTTCTTATAAAATGAATGACATGAATGACACATCCTATAAAATTAGTGTATGGTTATGTAATTAAAGACTATATAGTGCATATAGCAAAAGCCAATAAATTTGAATTGCTTTGACTACCCTCATGCTGTCTTTTTCTGAACTTGATTCTTTGATCTTGCAACATAATGTTATTTTCTCTTAATGTTTTGTATGAAAATTGCTTTCTGTAGAAGAAAAAAGAAGCTTAAAAAAGGAGAGAAGTTCTTTCATGTGGGTCTTACTGGGACCTGAGTTTCAAACAACATCTTTGAAGTCTTTGTGCCACTTGCTCAAATAGCAGTCGTCTTTATTTCCGATGGAGTAACTGTTAAGTCAGCTGCCATACTGCATGAGAACTGTCATTAGAGGGGGGATAACATGCATGATTTTTTTGTGGCTAATTTTAGATCCTTGCCACTATTAAAAAAAAAATCTCAAAATCTTGGATTTTGGTTCCATCCTCTGTATGCAAATAAGGTCTGGTTCATAATTGTTGTTGCCCTCATTTCTTCAACACAAGTTCTGACCCTTTTACTCTCTCCTTTCTTTAAATATTTCCTATCCTGAGTTTTCCTTTTCTTGTACCACATTCCCAGATTACCATCAGTCCTCTTTCCAAAGCAGTCCTTGTCTCTGTCCCCAGAGTCCCCCCTGAAGTCCCCAGTCTCCTGGCCCAGCCAGTCTTGATCTGTCTCTGACTGACATCCTAAATGTTTCTCCCTTTTCCTATCACTTACCCGTCAGCTACTCTTCCCCAGGCCATTATCGTAATCTTTAACTTTGCAAGTCTTGTCCTATTTGGTTTCCTTAGTATGTGCTGTGTGTTGTTTAATCAGCTTCTCTAGGTCTTCAGATACAGATGCAGTCAGCCCTCATTATCTTCTCCTTATCATTGTTGTCTATTGAATTCTTTAACTCTTCTTTTTAGTACTACCTTCTGATACATCATGAGAGAATTTGTTCTCCTAAAATTTTTAAGTGGGAGGTACTCCAGAATTACAAAGGTATCCATATATCTACTTCTATGAATGCTGCAAGTTCTCATCTGCAGATCAAGTCTTGTTTGTATGATGGTTAGAGGCTCAGATATGGCTTCCTAAGCTGGCAGTTGATGCAAGTGCTGTACTGTAAGAACAAACAAACAAAAAAATTCCCATTTGCTGGATTTGTTGGACAAAATCCTGGTTACATGGAAGAAACAGTAATATAAATAAAATGTAGAATCTGCAGCATAATGCTGTCTTTCTCACCACTAGCATGTGTGTATGTCAAGGAATTTGTGAGGGCATTTCTGATTTTTAGTTTTCCTTAGAAGGCCTTCTTTGCAGAAGGGCACTTACCACCATTGATTTTGCAAATATTGGAGATAAGAAAGTACTTGTAAATCTTGTTAAAACTGCCATTTCTGTGCAAATATTTCTTTGTGCGGGTTTTTTTGGTGGTTGTTTTTTTTTTAATAACCTTTTTAATAACCTGGAATGTTAAAGGTAGTTTGAAGTTTTCGAATGTCATTGCTGTCTTTTAAGGGAAATTATGTACTGTACAGTATCATGTAATTCTAAATTTTTGAAAACTTTTCTGTAACAGATTATCCTAACAACCTAGAGTGGAATTGCTTGAAATTCAGCAGTAGTTAATAATACTTTCAAAAGTATCCAGCTGCTACCAGATTTACAAACTGCTGTACTGATATTTGCTATTTTTGTCCATGTGGGTTTAATCCCAGATGTTTACCCTGTAAATAGTTACTGTTGTCTTAAAACAGTATCACTGTTTGTTACCTCTTCACCTTGTCAAATGCTTTCACAAATATAAAAGAGATTTTGAATAATCTTTTCTGTGTTACTTTGACAAAGCAATTTAAGACAGAAAGCTTGTTTTGCAGCATGGGATAAGAAAGAATGAACTCTTTAAATTGTCTAAAAGTCACTATAAGCAAAACTAATCTTCTAATTACAATTTGTACTTTTTATTTTTTTTTTAATCTAGCTTAGAAGTAAAAAACCTTAGTATCTCTTTATCTTCAAAGGAAAATTGAAACCAGCTTTTAAAAACTTACCAACCTGGCTTGCCTCTAAGGAACTATTCCGTAACTTTCCTTATCTTACTACAGAAACATTTGTAGGTGCCCAGAATTCTCCGAGTATGTCTGGGTGTGTTTTGTTTTGGCATATTACTTGTATCAGTTGCTTTTGCTGAAGAGTTATCTTTTTGTATTTCTGATTAGTTTAATGTAATTTTACTTCATTCTTTAGATGCATATGTTAGCTAATCAGCAAGTATCACATTAGAAATACATTTGGGGAGAAAAAGCAAGAAGTAGTTCGTTATAAACATGATAAATTGAAATACGGAAGTTATGTAACTAGAGGAGCAATTGACAGAATTAATTAAGCAATTTGAATTTGAGAATAACCTGAAAATTATCTGTATAGTTTAAAATAAGGATGCTTTTCATGATTATAAGTGTGACTTGAACCCCTGCTGAATTAGTAGCATAATGAAAATAATGTAAATTCCCCCCCTTTTTTTTTTGTTGTTGTTTGAATGGCTTTCCCCTTGTGCTTTTCATTTGTATAAACCAGTTTTCTCAGCCTCAGGGAGCGTACTGTGCTCTTCTGTATGCAACAGCCTAGTTTGAGGTCCCATTCTAGCCTTTCATCCCTCAAATCAACTTGGAACAAAACAGAGGAAAGACTTTATAAATCATTACTCAGCAATTTAGTTAGAACATTCATAGCCACTTGCCTTCATTCACGTGTCTTCAGCTCCAAAGATGGGTTTTTGGGTAAAGTTTTTATGTTTTTTGTTAAGCAGCTCTGTCAAGGGGAAAAAGAGAAACGCTCTTCAAGTAACTGTGCAAATTGCACATAAACATTCCTCTCCACGACCATAAACCCATTGCAATTGAGCCAGAGACATTTCTGTAATGGTACCTTGATGTCATGAATGTGTGTGTGTCCCCTTGTGCTTGCAAGCAAAATGAAACTTTGGTTCCTTTTCACTACCTGCATTTCTTGGGCTCTATTATGCCTATTAGTTGATTCCCCCCCCCAAGCAATAGCAACCTTTTGTTGTGTAAATAGAGGTTAGCATAGTCATTAGTGTGGTTAGATAATCATAGTTTGATAGTGCTTGCTTTTTTTTGTTTATATTTTCTCTTTCGCTTCTTGAATGATGTGTGATACTGCCAATATAGTCATCTTAAATCAGAAGACCTTAAGAATCGCCTGTCAAATAATGCACTCATGCTTTCTGATGACACAGTTCATACCTCATTCATAGTTGAAAGATATTTCAGAAACAAGCACATGATCTCCAAGTCTTCTGGTAAAAGAATGCAAGCAAATTAAGCACAATTAAAGCAGTTCATGGAGAGGTCTGTGTTTGGCCTCTGCCTCACAACACCATGGAGCTGAGGAAGCAGGAGTACTGCTCACAATCTTTAACTCCTGGAGTGAAATGCATTTTCTGTGTATGGGCTTTTCTTTAAAAGTCACCTTGCAGTTTTGCTAGCAATCCAGCTTTATATCATATGGATTCCTGTAACAAATGTTGAGGAATTTTATGAAAGGATTAACAGTAGCTTACTTAGCAGTAAATGAACTTGTTTGTTTGAGACCTTATTTCTGACAAGACAAGACGGATGGATCTGCCCTGTGAGCTGTTGGTCTTCTCTTCACCTGTCTAGGCCAATTTTCTGAAGTGTGATAGTTTAATTTAGGGGTGTTGGAAATTTGCTAATAGTATCTTTTTTTTAAGTAACCTGTATCGCAGTAGCTAAAGCTGTATATTGAATGGTCTTACAAAGTTTCTGTCTGAATCAGATGATGTATCTTTTTTTTTTTTTCACATAGGTGGGTTTTTGTTGTTGTTTGGGCTCGGGTTTTTTCATTGGGTTTGAAGGGTTTTTTGTACCATGTGCTGCAGCAGTGTTCTCTCTGAGAGCAAGGTTCATCAGGAACTTGGTTGCGTTTTTGGGTGGGTTTTTTTCTGGTTGGTGCTGGTTTGTTGGGGTTTGGCTTTGTTGGGTTTTCTTAATGATATGCCAGATGCATTTGAGTTTTTTAGGATAATCTGTGCTGTTGCATTTCTGTGAGGTTAGTAGTTTTTCAATTATTTGTTTATTCTGTTCAGGTGGACAAACTTGTCCTAGAACTGGAAGAGAGCCGTAACCTTAGCAGTACGATTGTACACATTGACATGGATGCCTTCTATGCAGCTGTAGAAATGAGAGACAATCCAGAGCTGAAGGAAAAGCCTATAGCAGTGGGATCAATGAGTATGTTGGTAAGGCCAAATGTGAAGCTAATACAGAAATCAATTACATTAATCTAAAGCTTAATAAACCATACAATAATCATGTAATGACACTGTTATATAGAGACTTTTTGTAAGTGTGGAAAAAATAACAAAAATAATAGAGGAAGTATCTGTTCTTAGACTAGACCGTGTAAACTGGATTTTATTTTTCAGTAAAAAGTGTACTGATGAAAGTTTAAAGGATGTAAACAGGTTGAAAGGTGGGTGGCGGGAATGCATATAAACTCTCAGCCTTGTCAGTCTTTTCTGTGTGGAGATATGTAATTAGAACTTGATTATTTAATGCTAAACTTCAAGAAAAACTTGATTACTGAACACTAAACTTACTTAATCTCTCTTAAGTCCACCTCTAATTACCACGCTAGGAGATTTGGTGTACGTGCAGCCATGCCTGGATTTATTGCTAAAAAGCTGTGTCCACACCTAACTATAGTACCATTAAACTTTGAAAAATATGGCAAAGTGAGTAAAGAGGTAAGTCCGAAAGTGCTCTTTAAACAAAAGGCTGTATACTTGGTTTTAGACTTTATCAGTACATCAGTTCTAGATAATATGAAAAGTGGTAGTTTAATTATTAAACTCTTCAGTGATGTGGCTTTGAACATAAGTTAAACAAAACATTGGTGCTTTTGGGCAAGGAGATGAAAAAGCATTGCATTCACCTATCTTGCCATTTTAACGAATTCGGTAGTGATGCTGATAGAGATTTTCAAAACTGTAGTGAGCTAGTGATACCACTTGAGCCTTATTATTCTTAAAACTTCAAAACTATGGAGCATAATCTAATTAGTAGGAAGCTGCAAGTACATAGGAAACATGGAGATAATAATTTGATACAATGCATAATCATCATTTTGAATGCTAATTACTGGAAAGAGAAGCTAAGAGCATTAGTGAGTACTAATGCAGATTCATTTGTTTTAAAAGAAGGGACTTGAAATAAAGAACAAAATTAGGGAGAAAAGAAATCACATTTTGTTTTAATGGAAGTAATTTTACTTAGTGCCAGGAGAAATACTTAGGATACCCAAAATCCAGTTTGGGTTTTTTGTTGTTGTTGGGTTTTTTTTTAAAAAAAAAAAAAGAAAAAGGTCTTCTGTAGGTCCTAAATCAATATGCCAAGATTGGTTTATTTATTTTTATGAAGCCTCAATCTGTTCACATAAATAAATTCAACTAGTTACTAATTTTGATCTTACTTGATTTTTCTCACTTCTGTTGTAAAAAAGCATATATAAATATGAGTATTTCAGAATGGGTTTGAACTTGTTAAGGATCTTGGATTTCATGATACGTATTTCATTAGTTTGATGGGATAAAGTATTAAAGGTTCAGGTTGATTTAGTTTTGCAGTTTTGGGAAGATGTTGTTCTCTTTGTATTTGGATTGAAAATATTTAAATTTATTTAATTTTGTCCTTAGAAGTTGAGCAGTGAATCCTATCTTTAACCAGTTTCAGAAGGATGAAGTGCATGTGAACAAATGTTGTGATACCTAAGAATTTGACCAAAACTGATAGAGAAAACATGACACAGTCAAATTTAAAAAAAAAAAAAATTGTTTAAAAAAAGAGAGGGGAAAAAAACAGGAAAAAAGGTAGATATTTATTTTGACCATTTTAATTTATTATGTTGCCTTTTGGGAAGATGCACTTACCACTGAAATTTTTTCTAACAAGTTTTGCCTTAACCAGTGCTCTAAAACATTGGCTATTAACTTTAGTTTGAATGTAATTTAAGACTTAGGTGGTGGGTTTTTTTATCCTTTGCATATGTGATGTCTGACACACAGTGCACAAAAAGGTGCATCAGTTCACATGCTGTGCTGAGTACCCAGGTCCCTAGAGTTTTATTCAGGTGGTTACTGCAGTGTCCGTGAACCTAGTACCTGTGGAGGCCTTAATACACTGATCTTAATGACCTCTACAGTAAAATACACTGCTCAAAATCTGTTTAGTTCTCACATATTATCAATATCTTGCTACTTGTGAGAAGCAGTACTGTAATTTTCCAATATCAATAAATAATTTGTTCTATAAATATCTTTAATTTTCATTGGTCATCTTGAAATTTCATAGTACATTTTTTCACCTCATAATTGTGTCAAGACTTCTTCTTACAGCAGCAAGGCTTTAAACTTTCACTATGTGTTTATCAAGGTTAGAGAAATACTGACCGAATACGATCCCAATTTTCTGCCTGTGGGCCTAGATGAAGCCTACCTGAACATAACAGAGCACTTGGAGGAAAGACTGAACTGGCCTGAAGATAAAAGAAGATTCTTTTTTAACACAGAAAGCACTACAGAAAAAGGTAAGCAAATTACTCCCTTTTCATGCAGTCACATGACACTGAGGGGACAGACAGGTTCCTTTAGGGATCCTTGGCAGAATGATGATGGCACTAAATCATAGTTACAATTTAAGCTTTATTTTCTTAACAGGAAATTACGATTAGTATAGCACAGAATTTATGATTAGAATAGCACAGGATTTCTACAAGTAGAATTAATGTAGTACAATCTATAAGTAGCATAATACAAAGTTTATAATACAACTTAAGTTATGATTTCTAATCACCTAAGTAACACGGAATTTATAATACAACTTAACTTATAATTTCTAATCACTTGGACCCTCTGCAGATCGGGTCAAATCTTAATACATGGCTTGCTGTATCAATATAACAATCTAGACTTGAAAATTGTATGAAAGAATACAAGTCACTCCCAGATCCTTGGAGGAAGCAGATGATGGTGGAGGCGTCCCTGGCCACCAGGGTGTCCCAGTCTCACTGTCCAGCAGCAGTTCTGGTCCAAGTTCCCCCTTAGAACTTCTAGCTGCTTGGTTTCACAGACAGTGCTCTGGGTGCTGTTACACTTCTCTGTTCGGTGACAGAGTCGTCAACAACACCCGGCTGGCCCGGTGCCTGGGACCTTCAAGGCTGGCAAGGAAGGGAGTAATTGGCCTGGTGCCCAGAAACCTTGAGGCCAGTAGGGAGGGGAAGAAGAAATCTGTTTGGTTTGTCTACTTGGTGCACAGGACCTTCAGGGCCTCGTAATGAGGGGAAAGGGAATGAATACGTGACCTGTTCGGTCCCAGAGAATGGCTGCTTGCCTTATAAAACGGTGTTAGTTATGCTAACCACATTACCAGGGGTCAGGAGCGGGGGGCATACCAGTCATACATGCATATACGGTAAGCTTCAGATAAGCTGCACCCATTGAAGGTGTAGATACTTAAGTCCTTGCATAATTCATCCTCCCAGATACTCTCTACCTCTGATCTGTTAGTTTACAGGTTGACTTCCTCTACTACTCACCCATGCAGAAAAGGTATGCCGCTGCTGATAAGGACTTGGAGGATTTTTTTCTTTTTTTTTGAGTAAATTGTGTGAAAAGTGGTGCTGAGTTTACTAAACCCAATTGTGCATTATAGGTGTGTATTTTTCCTTTATAATTCAACATTATAATATTGAGAATAAGTAGTAATAATCTTATGACTTATGGAGGTGTAGAATAAATAAACTTACTGTTCTGAAGGTTATTTGTATTTTGCAAAGATGTTTCCTAAAATACTGTAGTGAGTCCTGTACATCAGAAACATGAGAAATTGTCTGCAAAAACAGTGTGCATAAGCTCTAGTTACATGATTATTTTACAAGACTAAAAATGTATAAAGTAATGAGCACTGCAGGAGTTACAGTAATGCTTAAGATACGACTGGATTTCAGTTGGCTCTCGAAGGTGGAGTTGAACCACATCCACAACTGTATACCCCATTGGGAATAATAAAAAAGGAGGAGTAATACAAATGGTTGGTTGATGCACAAACTAGAACATTTATATTATCAGTATTCAAAAATTATCTAAATAACCATTAAGAGGATAATCAAGGATACACTACTACTGAAAAACGTCAGTAGAGTAGAAGGAAACACATTGGCATAGTCTTTACAAAATAGGTATCACTGATGTGTAGTCATGTGCCTCTTCATACTTTTCTGACATCTTTGTTCTTCTGAAACACAAACAAGCACTCTGAATGTTAAATCATAATAGTAAAATTTGTAGTCAGACAACAGGCTGCTGACATTACTTTTCTACCATGACTGCAGTTGAAAACAAGAAGCTCACCAGGCTGATGGTTCTAGAAGCAGATATTCCAGAACCCTTATTTTCTTTGGAGAATATTGAAAAAAATTCTGCAAAAGATTTTTATTTGCAAAAAAAAAGGGAGCATCTGGCTTTCACTTTCATATGAAACAAAAATAATGCCAAAATTTTGATGTTTTTCTGCTGCTACAGCAACAGGCCATTAAACCTTGTTGCTTTTCTGGAATTTATGTCCAGTCTCCTAGTCACTTCTTCCAATCTCAGCCAAGCTCTAATCATATTAAGAGCAAAGCAGTTACGACTCTCCTTTCTTCAAACAAAAAAGCAATGCAGTTGCTTTGGTTAAATAATTATATATTTTTTTTTCCAAACAGAAAAAAAGAAAACTGCTAATGAACTCTCTTCAGCTACTGCAGAAGGAAGTCAATAAAGTATGTGTTTCATATGGATGGATTGATTGTTTGTGTTTCTATCTAACATAGATAAAGATGATATAAATACATCTGTCAAATTTAATGAAGATGGATACTCTTCTTCACCGGTACTGTTTGAAGACAACACACCTCTGATGTATGACCACCCTGAACAAAGGGATCAATCAGTGGAAAACTCAGTTGTATTTGGAACTTCTGCAGAGGAAGCTGTGAAGGAAATTCGCTTTAGGATTGAGCAGAAAACTCAACTGACTGCTAGTGCAGGTATTCAGACACATATGAATAATAATAATGCTTTGTATTTCCACAATGTCTTCTACTCTAATATCAGAGGGCTTTAATTAAGAAATTAGCATTGCCACAGCATTCTTGTGCTGCAGAGAAATACGCTGTCTTTGCAAGTCTGCAAAGACTGTGACTTTTAAGTGTTTCAAGAGATGTTATGGCTATCAAGGCCACTTCTGGTTGGGGCAGGGCGGGGGGGATTAATCATAGAAACAGTTATATCATCTTTTTGCATCTTTCTTCTTGAAATACAAGTAGTATGGAAGAACAACCAGTGCACTCAGGAGCTAATCTTAGCACTGGTGCTTGTTGTTTTAGTGCTTCATGTAAATTGTTTTCATAAGCCAGTGGTCATAGTGAAATCTGTCACTGGTTGCTAAATTGCTGTTAGTTTGAATAGCAGATCTATATTGTTAAGTATTTCTAACAGTTCTCCACAGTGTTCCTTGCTTAATGCAGTATCAAAATTCATTAAAAAGTTAGTTCTCAGAGAAGTAAATGTGTGTTGATGTTAATAAACTACTCACTAGCTTTTTAATCTTTACCATGCAAGTTTTATGTCTTTTGACTTAAGGCAACCTACCTGTAAGTCTCAACTGTTTTGATAATAATCTGGATTAGGTCACTATGAAAAGTGTATGTCCCCAGCCACTTAGTCTGGATGCCATCCAAACTGCTTTGTGAACCAGGTCAGTGAGTCATCAGGGAGTGCTGAGCTTTATGAAGCAGATGTGGAAAGCCAGGGAAGGTTGAACGTAAGCAGAGGTAAAGGAACAGCTAGTAGGAAGAAGCAGGATGAGACCCCCTTCCCGTGTATGTTATCTCATGAGTGGTAGCGAAATAATAATTTTGTTCTACTGAAATTTTGTTTTCCTAAGAATAAGTTAGTGTTTAGAAAACAGACATAGCTTTTATAAGTGCATCAGGGGTTTTAAGCCCAAAAATGAAAAGCCGTTAGAAGACTAATTGAAAAAATACTGATAATCAATAATAAATATAATTACTTCTACCATCTTGAATAATACATTATATCAGTGAACAAATAAAAATTTAGACTCCTAGGGCTGTAGCACAGAGTAATTCTATTTTTTTTTGCTAAACCAATTCCAGAGTTCATTTGTAAAAACAGTTACTTTGATAGAAAAGAGCAATCCCTCCTCATACCTACCACTATCAGTGAAATATATTTCTAAATTACTACATAGCAGTGGTAGCCCACAAAAGACTTTAATTTGGTAAATTTTGTCAAAATTAATTTAGTCTTTTTGCTGAAATACAAGGAAGAAATATGTCATTAAGAGTTCATTACAACTGCTGTTGTAAGTATTTCCTTTTGTCTTACCATAATCACTGTCATAAAATCATTCAATCATGTAGCTGATGTTATTTTTAAACCCTTGGTATTTAACCCCTCGTGACTGATTAGTGCATGTTGTGTTACCCTGACTATCTTAAAATAGTAGGTACACTTTATCTGGTGCATCCGTTATATTTAATCTACCATACGTATTTATGTTCTCACATGGCTATTACAAAATTTTTTTGCGGAATTGTAACAAATCTGGTTATCAGTTATTGTCATTCTTTTGCTTATGTTTAGTCTTTGCCAAATGTGTAGGCTACTCTTGTGCTTTTAAATACTGGGTGAAATTAAACATTGTCTTGTATTTTTTAAAAATATGGGTTTTGTTTGTTTGGTTTTAAGGAATAGCGCCAAATACAATGTTAGCAAAAATGTGCAGTGATCGTAATAAACCTAATGGTCAATGCAGAATTACTCCTGAGAGGCATGCAGTGCTAGACTTCGTAAAAGATTTGCCCATTAGAAAGGTAAGAGATACCGTGACACTTACGATGCAATCATGTATATTCCTTATGTTCTAAAAGCAAGATTTCTACTGAAGAAATATACTTTTCTAGGTAAACAGAGTTGTGTTTGATTTAAATTGTTCTTGGTGTTGGATGTACAAATGGAAAGTTTCCAACATAATGATACTTAACTCTTTTTCAGGTGCCAGGTATAGGAAAAGTAACAGAGAAGATGTTAAAAGCCCTTGGAATTGTGACTTGCTCAGAACTTTACCAGCAGAGGGCACTGCTTTCTCTTCTTTTCTCAGAAGCATCCTGGCGTAATTTCTTGGATATTTCCCTTGGTTTGGGTTCAACACATTTGGAAAAGTATGTTTTGGGGTTTTTTCTCCTGCGTTTACATTTTTCTAAATTCTTCCTTGTGTATGTTACATACTGTACATTTTTAGGACAGACTTTATTGACAAATATTATGAAAATTTGGCTTAATATATTTTAAAAAGTTCTCTGATACCTGTTATTGTTATATTTATGGCTAAGATACACACAACAGCCAAACATTAAAAAGCAAAAGTTTGTACAGCCATGTCTAATATATGAAATCCAAAAAGTCTGTCAGAGAAGTTGTGCATAAGTGTATATCAAGAAATCAAGTCAGTATGATTTAGGATAACCTCATAATTACTAAAATAGCTAAACAGAAATGAGTTACCCTAAGCAGAGCTGTTCAGTTTCGTTTCTTCTATAAAAACAATATACATTCATTGTTCTTTATTATCTGATTGTAATGAAAATCACATTGGTATCTGATCTTCTCTGGTGATAAATTGTCATATTTCTAGTGAAAGTAAAGTGAAGTTTCTGTGTCTCCTATTGTGTTTATGTATGTATTTGTAATATCAACTTGTGAATTTGCTGGAATAGAACTGAAGATTTTTATATCCTTCTTCATATCTGTTCCTTTAAGGTTCATACTACTTTAATGGCTTTTTATCCTCCTGTTTGGGAGGGGAGAAATCAGTCTTACTAGTGAATACATCTTTTTAATAATATGTGTCATTTCTAAGCCTGTCCTGGATACAAACATGGAACACTCGTTCTTAAAAAAAAAAAACCCACCATAGCATTTTGCTGTTTGTGTAACCAAGAGTTTTAATTTATAATTGAGTCCGTCCTTTTAAATATTCCTTCCTTACATACCCTTCTATCCTTCCCAAAGTGCTGAAATTCTATTTAAAAATGGCTTGACAATGATTTGGTTTCATTAGGACTTCCGAAGTGTCTTATGTACCTTCTGAAAGACCTATTCTGTATTATTTCTGTTACTTCTCTGACAGTAATAGATCTTACATTTTTACCATTTGACTACAAAGTAATATATGCAGTTTGCAGTTTGTAGACCAGTAATATGCTAGCACAAATCTTTGTGTAGTTCTTTTTTTTTTTTCAGAAGTGTGTTGACTTGAAACAAAATATGCAGGAAGATTGACTTTGTGAAGGTGACTTGATAAAAGATAAAATGTGGCTTGCAAATACATTTTTCTGTTAAGATAATGCAACCTGAAATGGTCCTTTAATAATTGGTGCACCCTCTGCCCTTATTCACCCTGTTTAGGTGTTGTACTGTCTGGGAAGTCTCCCAGTACATTTTAAAAAAAGAAAAAAGAGCATTTCAAAAGCCAAGTTTATCATTGTGAAGCGAAACACATTTTTAATGGTGTTGTCTAAAAAATTTATTTCTTGGGTTTGTTTTTATTAGCACCAACTTCATTTCAGTGATTTTACTGTGGAGAAAGCAAACCCGTAACATACCAACACATGAGTTCTCAGTAAATGGTTTATCTTCTGGTCATTGTCTTTGACCACCTTCTTCTAGGAAAACCTGAGGATACCAAATTTGTTATTTCTAATACTTACAAACAGAAGAAGGACCTAAAAAAAATGTTCTCCTTAGATGCAGAAGAGTTGTTAAAGGATGCTCAATCAAAACTGGAAAGAAAAAACCAAACAAACCAACAAACAAAAAAAGCCTTAACACATCACATTTAACGTAGGCAATAATTTAGACAGAAAGCAAAATCATACCTCAGATAAACGTACTCAAATATACATAGTATGTTGAGCATTCTAGTGGCAGTGCTTCACAGTTATAGCTAGATGAGACAGCATAGGATTTGTAGTTAGTTTTGTTTTTAAATAAGACTCCTTCTGATATGAGAGGGGAGTTTTGTTTGGGTTTTTTTTTAAACAAACTGTTCATTTTTATTGATGTCTGTGGCTGATCTATGTCTTTACTTCATCTACAGTAGCTGAAGGGTTTTTTTTAAAAAAACATTCTCCATTTTGCACTAACTTAAACTTGATGTACAAGATTTGTAGAAAAAGTTAACATGCAGATTTTATGGAGTAGACTGCCGTTAGTTATTAAAGCATGATTGGTTGACTCACAGTTTATTGAAAAGATAACAATTCCAGGTAAACTGAGTATAATAAATTGTTTTTCTTTTTAAAGGGATGGAGAAAGAAAAAGTATGAGCACTGAAAGGTATGCCTCTTCGATATTGAAAAAAATTTCATTAATCGCTAAACCTAGTTAATGCCAAGTAGTGTATACTTTTCTTAGTCATGTAATTTCATTGTGTATTTATATGTGTTAAAAAAATATGCATACACAACAAGCTCACTAAATTAGATTTGAGCTTTCATTATTTTTTTTTTCCTTGGCTTCAGAATACTGTGGAGGTACTTCTGTCAGTTTGTGTGTTCTCTTTTCTTGTCATCTGATTCTCCTAATCCCTTTAATGCATCAAAGGGGTCTTTAAGCCATAATATAGGGTGAAAATACATAAGGACTTGAATTTTTTTGTACGTTCCAGTTGACTGTCTACCAGTCTAGTAGCTTGCAGTCACATGCATAGTAAGTATAGCATAAGGTAAACTTGCAAAGCGGACAATAATGTTGCATAGTTAACTAAAATCAGTTACATTTCCTAACTTTTAAGTTTTTACCAGTGTGAAGTTCTGTAAGAAGGTGGTGTATGTAATTTCCAAAAGTTTATTTTTAAAAAGGAAATACTGCAAGGAGACTCTGTAGAGCACCGTAATAATTATCCCTACCCTCATGTGTTGTTTCTTCTTAGAAAAGTAAGATTCTTATTCCTGTTGAGACTTAATAGTTGTGGGCAGCTTAAGTAAGTCCCATAAGGTTTGGTGCCACCAGAGCTGAGAAATTTATGGCTGTAATCTTGTGCTGGTTTGCAGGCAGACAGGTAGTCTAAGTAGCCTATTGCACCTTTCTGCTTTTCTTTCATCCTCCTTTTTTCCCCTGAGGAAAATGGTTTTAGACCAGACATGTCAATGGGCTGCTGAGATCAGGAAACTAGTTTATATGGGGGAAAGGTGTATATGGGGCCTGAAATAGCATTCTCTCTATCCTGCCCCTTCCAAACTCAGGACTTTCACAGCTTCCCAATCACTGCAGCATTGCCAGGATAACACGAGTTACTCATTGGATAATGGCATGGGACCCACAGTAAAATACTTATCTGGCACCATGCAGACATTCTTAGGGGAATGTGAATCCCAATAGAGGATGACTTCTCAATACGATCACATAAACCTGAATATAACTTAGAGATGTGAAATCCAGTGTAACTATAGGGACTTTACACTTGTAAATATAAAGCCTGGCATGAAACATTGGAAAGACCTTTCCAAAAGCATCTGGTGGCTCTAAGTTTTGCTTCCCATTTCTCTTAAAACCACTACTAACTGAAGGTTGCCTTTCCTCTCATGTTATTACCAGAAAGCAGATGCACAACAAAAAAAATAATACTGTAATTCCCCTGCTAAGAAGCTCTAGCAAAGGCAGTCAGCAACATTTTTGGCAGAAAGATAGTTTTTCCTCCTCTGAGGCTAGACATAATTATCCTAGCTGGCATCTTTTTCTTAGCATCTGCATTATTTATTTCTGATTCTTGGCTCTGATGTTGACTTTCTAATCCTCTCTTTCTTCTGATGTTACATAGCACTGTACAAAGGAGATTAAATAAAAATAACTTGGCTGGCTCTGTGAATTCAGTTGGTGTTAGTATTCTCTCTTGCAAATATTTAAGCATTAATGACCTTAAATCTGATACATTTTCAAATAGTGAATGAAAAATTGGAAGCCAAATTATTTCATTATTTGAAGGGCTTTGCAAACATTTTGAAACACATAGATGTGCACAAACCTTTCTGTATAATATTCGTATTAATTTTGCCTTGAAGTAAACACTCAAACCTATACAACCTTTGTCTGTTTAACTGTACAAAAAATACTTTTAGATGGCAGCTACTGAACAAATTTTAGGATTCATACTGAAAAAAAGATCATATCTTTATCTTAGAACATTCAATGAAATAAACACAGCAGAAGACCAGTACAGCTTGTGTCGAGAACTCTGCAGAGACCTCGCTCAAGAGCTACAGAAAGAGCGACTTAAGGTATTTATATTATTCTCTGTTTACCTGCAAAAAGACAACACTTTGTACTCAAACTTATTAAATGCGGTGTTAGTGTGAATGCTTTCAGCAGCATCATACCATGCAATCTATCTTCAGATGTCTCCATTCTTTAATTTGCAGATGTTTAGAATGATTTAGGCAGCATTTTGATATTGTTCAGATGGCTATCTAATAATATGCATGGAAGACATTAAACTAATTAACCAGGTTATTTAGCATATAAACATTTTGTGCTAAAAGCAATGTTTATATACAAATAATAAAGCTGATTGTCTGTGAGCTGTGCTTTGGTCAATCATGTAATACTAATGTATTTAAAACACTGTGGTTCTCTCCTGTATTCATACAGGATCCAGTCAATAGCCAGTAGTATAGTTTAAGAAGTTCATGTCCCAAACTTGATGACAAGTTACCATTCAGTGGTATGAATGCTAAGAACAGTCCCTGTATTCCTTCTCCCCAAATTTCTGTCTATTATCTGGAAAGAACAGTTCATATTTTCTATGGAGGTCTTTATGGTAAAGCAGGGAATAACATTCAAGACCTAAAATAATTGTCATTAGTCTTCTTCAGCCATAAAAGATGACAGGTTGAAAGGGAGATCATCAGCTAAGAAGGACAAAGGCTTAAGCTTAAAAAGGCACCAGAACAAAAGGAGTGCCATTTATTCACATTGGGATGGACACACTAAATCACACAAATGGTTTGGAGGGTGTTGCTAGGGGAATGTTTGTGCCAAACACAGATGCTGTGCATGGCTCTGATAGCACCATTCAGGAGGAAGGAATTTTCAGCGAATCATTAATTGGTTATCACTTGTGCATCCTTAGTAGTTTTCCCAGCAAAGTAAAAGTATCTGGTGCTGAAAGCTTCCAAGTAAGGAAATATTTTTTTCTAGACAGGGTAGAAGTTGTGACTGTAGCCAAACCATGAAATCTACTGAACATGCACTGGTGGCAGATGGTCTGCTGGAAACCATAGCTAAATGACCCAGTTCAGAGAATTCAACTTTGGCAGTAGTTTAGGAGTAAGTGCAGAATCTTGCAGACAGATTCTTGGCAGTGCCCCTTGCTGTACACAGATAAGCACACAGTCTTGAATGTGGCTTTAGGGCCCTTATATAGCTGCTACATAATAATTGTTAGATGCTACATATATGACATGCTTAACTTTTTTAAAAATTTTTTTTTTCTTTTTTTCTTTTTTTTTTTTTTTTGCCTAGGGAAAAACTGTTACCTTGAAGCTAAAGAATGTGAACTTTGAAGTAAAAACAAGAGCTTCAACTGTGCTGTCTTCTGTTTCTACTGAGGAGGAAATATTTGCTGTTGCAAAAGACTTGTTAGGAACAGAAATTGATAGTGTTGCTCCTCACCCTTTACGGATAAGACTTATGGGTAAAATATTTCAAACTCACTCTTCCTTTTCAGAGTTAGTTCTTACAATGTATCAAAGTAATAGACCATAGTCTAAGGTAAAATTGGTATACGTGGATTTATCCTTTCTCTGTTACCCTGGTAGATTTTGCAAAGTGAAATGGAGTGCTGAATGGTGACTCAGGAATGCTTTACTAATTGAGGTTGTATTTTTCCTACCACCTCTTAGCCCTTAGCCCAACATACACATTGGCATGAAAGTAGAATCTTAACACATAGCAGTGCTTAATTCTGCTGCCTTAAAAGAGCTTTTAAATCTGCTTTGCGCCACAGCAACAGGTAGTTTCTGTCCATAACCTCTTTTAGAAACAAATGATTTAAATAAAAGTGCTTACAGATTTAAAGATGCTATGTTCTGCAAGAAATTTAAAAATTTCTGTCAAAAGTTAACTCTGTTTTGATTCTAAGACCTGTGTGCTTCAGGTGCTTATGCATTCTGCTTGAATTATTCAGTGATATATAAACCTTACTTGTCTATGGTATCAGAATGTGCTGAAGAAGTGTTTTGGTTGGGAAACTTCATGTAAAACTCTCTTTCAGACTGAATTCTATATAACTGTATTAAGTTTATAGCCTCATGTTATGGTACAATCAGTTAAAACTTCATCGGTATTGAAATTATATGGTTGAGGAAGTGTTTGGGTCTGATAAAATTGTCTGGACCTTGTGATCCATTGTTAACATTTGTAGGTAGTATAGCCCCCATGTAGAGATAAAATGCACTTTTATCGAGTGGATGTATACCTCATAAGGTGTTAATTAAGAATTAGTGTAAAGTTTTCATAAAATTGGTATTATAAGTTTGTTTTTCATCATTAGGTGTACGAGTATCAGGATTTCTAAGTGAAGAAGAGAAGAAGTACCAACAAAAAAGCATTACGAGTTTCTTAAAATCAGGAAAGGAAATTGGTTTTCTTAGGCTTCAGCAAGGGGAGTCCAACCAAGAATATTTCACAAAAAATTCAGAAACATCTTCCAGAGGGAGTTTTTTTGATAAAAAGCGAGCTGCAAGGCAACTAAACAGTGAGAATCTTTCTCCAAATGACACTGTAGGTAAGCAGCTCTTTCATGATAGGAAATCAGCAGCAAATTTTGTGGAAGAAACAAAGAAAGTCACAGACTTACAGAATTCTAATGTGTGTAAGATCTTCACCTGCCCTGTTTGCTTTGAGGACCAAAGCAGCAATAATTTGGAAGAGCTTAATAGGCATATTGATGAGTGCCTCAGTGGGAGTCTTGTTAAAGATACCATGGAAATAGCCAAGAATGACAGTTCAAGAGAAAATACTCTTAACTTTCTTCCACAATTTAAAAATGAAAATCTTGATGAATATCAAAAAAATAAAACAGATCAATTAGCAGGAACATACCAGTCTGCAAGTATATCTGACAACTCTACTAGCAATAGCACAGAAAAATTCACTCAGATAATATCTGATAAACCTCACAGAGAAAGACAGCCTAGCAATCTCAGTGATATTGCTAGAAATGTGTGTATGAAGCAGTGTCTCTTCCCCAAAAGAATTTCACAAGCCAATGAAGACCATTGTGAAAAGACTGAACATACAGAAGAAACTAGTTCATCCTGTTTCTTTGAAGCCAAAGATGACAGTGTTCTGGTTTGTCCAGTTTGTAATTCAGAACAGAAAACCACCAGTCTTGTGTCATTTAACAGACATGTGGATATCTGCTTAAATAAAGGCCTTATCCAGGAGCTGACAGAAAAAAAAGATTTTCCTACTAAGACTTGTAATATGGAAAACTCAAATAGAGTCGGTGAGTATGCGCATTAGGATATATTTGGTTATTCAAAATATCTGCTTGTATAATTAAAATAATTTGGTAATGGTATACTTTGAACTTTTCAGGGCTTTGAGATTTTTGCAACAAGTTCATTTGAGTAAGGCCTGTGTAAGAGTGAACATTTTTATTTTAAAAATATAAAATCAGTTTTCATGACAAACTAGATTTATGAATGTGATGGTAGTTACACAGTGCATTCTCATTTACCACAATGGTGACATAGGAATTACTGCTCATTTCTGTAAATTGCATGTTTGCTACCCCCCAGCCATGTTCAGAAAGGTGTTTGTAAGGCCACTGAAGTTTTAAGTGAAAACCAATGAAAACATCTTCAACCGGGATTGTTTCAGAGGTTCAGTTGGCAGAAAAGTTCCATTATGTAATGTGCTGGCAAAAATAGAGAGGTGGTGAACTAAAGCATGAAGGCAGAAACTTGCAAGCCTGTTGTACATCTAATAAAATATATCTCATCACTGCATCTGTACCATGCCAAACTAGTAGCATATTTACTCAAGTAGTTTCTCTTTTTGATGAACAGTTAATCTTTGGCCAGATTAGAGGACAAGTGCAGATAGTTAAGTATCTGCTTGAAGTACCTTGTCCCTAATCTTGCTTGGGAGCCCTATAAGAGGAAATTAATATGCTAGTGTGTTAGAATTATCAGAACACAATTAAGACTTACAAAATGAATCTCTTGCACAGATAATTTTATAAGCAGTACTGTTGTTACATGTGCAAACAGGCTTTGGTTTAAATGAAAAACGTGCTGTTGGCAGAGATTCTTTTTTCCCCTCTGCAGGATAAAAAAATTTAAAATATAGTTTTCAACAACCACCTTGAAAATCAACCTCGTTATGCTGAAATATTTCAGAAAACTACAACAGCGTTCAAATTAATCCCTTAGAATTCAATAAACTAAAGGCTTTTTGTTTTTCTCTTTTAAAAATGTTAATAGAAACTACAGTATGCAAACTGCAGATAATAAAATGTTATCTACTCCTTGAGACAGATTAAATTCATTGTTTTGGTTTGGGTTTTTTTTTAAAAAAAAAAAAAAAGGAAAGCAAATCTTTACCCAAAACTGTTCTTTTAAAAGTTTTGCCGTGTATGTAATTTCTGAAGCATTCTTTCTTTATTGAAGTAATTAATTTTGGTTGTTTCCAATTACTTTTCAGGAGGTTTAAGCAGAGGACAGCAATGCACAAATCCATCACAAGGAACAAAAAGGTAAGAGTTTTCTGGAAACTTGAGTACACAACTCATTTTAAAACAATAATGGTTAGAAAAATTTTCAGTGTTGTACAAGTTGTTTAGGTATGCATTGCATATTTTAACCTCTTACTGTTTTTTTTCTTTCTGTAACTTTAGGTCTGGACTAAAAACTTCACAGTCGGTATCAAAAAAGGCCAAGTCGAGCAACTCCAAGCATACAATTGAAATGTTTTTTAAATGACTGTGTAGCAAGATATTCTATATGAAGTATTTCATAGTGTTTTATGACTGCAAATTGATTTAGCATTGGTGCTGGGCTGGGTTCAGGTGCCTGTCACTTTGGAGCCGTTGCGTGCCTGTGTAAAAAGAACATGCAGTTTGAGGTAGAAGAGGAGGTAAAACTGAGGTAATTTTTTTTTTTTTTTTGCAAATAATACCCGAGAATCAAAATTCACTAGCACTTTGACTTTGTTTATATTGAACATGTGGAGCTTTGTTAGAGTCATGAGCAGCCTCATGAATTCTCTCTGCTGTTCAACAAGCAGAACAGGGAGATTAGAGCTGCCATTGAGCAAGCCTGTAGGACAAGCTCCCTAGAAAGCAGGAATCATTAGCTAGGGTGCAACGCTGTGCTTACTGACCCACACCTTACTGTGCCCACACCTGACCTGCCGTCTTCTCTGTTGGTTGTATTGGCCATGGTAACCGTAGTAGCTCAGGCTGACACTTCCTTGGACAATTCAACACCAAATTTAATTGTGGTATTAGCTGTGTGATAACAAGGAAGAGCTGAGTTGCTTGATTATGAACGTCCGTCTTCTCAGTGGACACAAAAATTGACCAGTCTTGCAGTTTCAAAGGAAAAGAGCAAGAATTTAGAGCACAGTCAAGCTTTCGTTGTTGTCACGGAAAATTACTTCAGTAAGAGTTGCTGGACCAGCCCTGAAGGACTCATTGCGATGAGATACAGGATGACTTCACTGATTTTAAAAATGTTTATAAACCTGTTGATGAGAGAAGGATTCCTCCAGGTTAGTCAGACAAATGCTGTTTGAACCTTGGCCTTTCCAAAGAGACTGAAAACTTAAATTTTCTTCGCAATTGTGAAATTGTTACCAATCAGTAGGACTAAATTTACTCTAAGTAAAAGGTCTCATGGTGCAATAATAATATGAATGATGTGCAAATATGCAAGATGCTGAACCTTCTTATTGTTTGCCTATATTTCTCTTTAAAATTATTTTGTATTTCTGAATAAATGATATTTTATGAGTGCATATGTGGAAGGAGGAAGTTGTAAAGTGCAAATATTTAAAATACTCTGTTTAGATGCTTTCTGTTCACACCAGATTGCTTGAATGTAGACATTTTATTGTAATTCAGTATTTATCAGGCAAATAATTTATGATGACAGCATATTTCTTGTAAGTTATACAAACAATGTCAAACCCTGTATGAAATATAAACTGCTTTTTAATTGCAAAATCTTTAAAAGAAGTGGCTACTGTAGAAGCATCTGTTTCATTGTTTAACTGTATTGGAATTACTTTGGGGTTTGCTTGGGTTTTAAACAAACAAATGTGTACCTGGTATGTTTTAGATGCCCAGGCTAAGTCCGGAACGTGCTTTTTTGTTTCCAGACTTGCTGGTATGATTTCACCATCTCTACCTGCTCATCTGTTTGCCAGATGCCACTGTAACCACAGCTCTGTCATTTGAATTCATGTCAGTGCTCCTTTATCTGCTCTGGACCAAATCAGCTGGACTAGTTCAGACTATGTAAGCTGACTCAGTTGACTGTTTTCTAAGCCAAGTCAGTGAGCATTCAGCATGAGCTGGTCTGTTGACAGGGGTAGGAGCTGGAAACTTGGTAGAAAGACATAAAAACAACTGAGGGAACAATAACTTAAACTACCACTGCTGTTTAGAAAGTGAACATGTGACCCTTTACTAGTTTGTATCTGTCTGATTCAATAAAGTGTAGAATCTAAGTATCACCTTGTCAGTGTGTATTTCTTTAAAATGTGTATTTTTACATATGCATTACTTAGCAAAAAGTAAACCACTGTAAGTGCTTGAGCAAATGAAGTTAGTTTGGCTTAGCCTTGGAAGTTCTCTTACCATCTGTTTAAAAAAAAAAAAGCGTCATAGAGTGATCTGAGTGTCATGAAGTTAAAGTTGTGGAGTAGGTTAGAGTTAATGTGGAAATAAAACTCACAGCATGATTCTAAGGCCAGAAATGTCTGTCTTTTGAGTTGTGTGTAAAAATACACCTTTTGGAAAGGTGATTCTCTGTGTTTACAGAAAGTGCTTGGTGAGATGGTTTTAATGTTTTCCATGTAAATTTAATTCAGTGCAAAACAGAAGCCCTTTTTTTTTTCTATTCCTTATAGTTTCTTATACTACATTTATTACTGTTTTTATCTGAAGAAGGGCTTCAGTACACAATTCAGTATTGTCATAAACTTCCGTGATACGAGTTTTCATCTCAGTTCATATGGAGAAGACTCTGTAAGCAATGTTTTTGTTTTGCATTTTTCTTAGTGTGTGTTATATAATTGACCTTAACGTAAAATCTGTACAGATTGATACACAGTTTAATAAAAACATAATACTCACTGCCTTGACTTCATCTTCAAATCTCACATTTGGTTACAGGACATAATTTTTGCTTGTTCCTCTTTCTTCTTTATGTACTATTCAACATGCTTTTGTCTTACCTGACATTTTTTCTTTATATTGGTTCTACTTGTTTATGTATTTATTTCTACTGTTATTTTAAATATTAAAAAAATGCTCTGGGTTCCTGGCAGAGAGAGGGCTTTGTGAAGGCAAGTGAGGAAGATGTTCCAGTACTCCCTTGCTCTGCACCTTGTTCTGGATTCTGCATCTCTGTTAGTTTCTGCATGAGTCTTTTTTCTGCAGGTTGCTGGCGCCATTTGAAAGAGTCAAGATTGTGGGAAGTGGTTAGAGACTGTGGTAAACTTGCTATTTGCAAAGTCTGAGCACATAAAATATAGTTGTATTGGCAAAGTTGAAATAGTATTGTGTGATAGTAATTAGAAGTGGAAACTAGCAGCTGGTGTTTCCAGACTGTATGAAAAATTATGATCCTGGTTTAAAGATTCACACTATTAACGCGTGCTCTGTGTGAGGCTGCAAACCTGTTCCTCCTTCGGTGCCAGCTTTGTAGGCAGACCTAATCATTCCACAGTTGTCAGTTGTCTCACATTTCGAAAAGGAGCACTAATGTTGAAAACAGTGGGTCTGTATTACTAGCCCAGTCAACATACAGAAATAAAACTCGTAAGTTTTGCTGGAACATTTGACTCACAGGAAGCAAGTAAAAGTGAAACCTCTATGATTCAGCTAGAGCTAAATCAGTTATTTGTTCTTCTCACTCTGGGTTTATTTTCACAGTTTTTTCAGCTGAGTAACATCCATCTACTGGAAGTACAGTTGATGAAACTGTCTTATCAGACCGAGGTGTATCAAGTGTAAAGATTCTTATATATCACAGCCTGACTCTATTAAAAATGTTTAAAGGAGAAAAGAACTGTGAAATCTCTTCACGTGTGGTAAGCAGAATCTGAGCAAGTAGTTTTGTATCCAAATTTGCTCAATTTACAAAGTCTTGAGTCTTTCGGATTAATTTTACCATGGACATGTACAGTGTTAATAATCTTGGAAGTTAAGATGACTGTGTAACTTAATTACAAAGAAAAAATATAGTGAAGGAACTCAAGTCTGTCTTCAGTTGTGTAAGGCTGAATACTGATAGTCCTGCATTCTTGGAGCTACTTCTCCAATATTTATTTTGAAATGCTAGCAATCTCAAAGGCTGTTTTTTACAGTAAAATTTAGCCTAGTCACTTTAAACAATTTTTATGCCCTGTCTCAGAAAATCATTGTCTATGTGAAATGAAATATCAATGCTGGCTTCAGTAGACCAAAAGTGACAGTGGACTTCAAGAAAAACTGAGAAATAGGTAGATTAGGTGGATCTCAGTATGTCAGTTCACAACAGCTGAACCTTTGGGGATGCGTGTATTGATTTTGACTGGACTCGGACAAAAGCAAATGGAAGTATTGTCTACCTAAAGGTGAAGAGTCTTGTGACTGGATCAATACTGCTACTGCACGTGCATATTTCTGCCCAAATTTATGGCAGAAGCACCTCAGTCTCTCGCATCCCAAGGCTGCGTCAAGCTTTCCATCTACTGGAAGTACAGTTGATGAAACTGTCTTATCAGACCGAGGTGTATCAAGTATCAAGGTGTATCCATCTACTGATTTTCTGAGACAGGGCATAAAAATTGTTTAAAGTGACT